CCGGGCCAGCACCTACTGAGGACGGGCCACCCCGGGCCAGCACCTACTGAGGACGGGCCACCCCGGGCCAGCACCTACTGAGGACGGGCCACCCCCGGCCAGCACCTACTGAGGACGGGCTACTCTGGGCCAGCACCTACTGTGGAGAAGCACTGGACACAGGATCCAGGATGTGTCAATGAGTTCTTTTTCTTGCTCAGCTTCAGCTGATGCCCCAAAGACTAAGAACTAGACAGCAGGGGCCAGGTGTGCCTACATTCCAGAGTACAGCCCTGGGTCACTGCTGCTTGGTGCCTAAAGAAGGCAGTGGCAAACCACCTTTGTGACCCTCAGCTCAGCCCCCACTTCGAGGGCCTCAGAGGCTGAGGCTGAAGAGGCTGGAAGGGGGGTTTCTTTGGAGGCTGTTGTTGAGGTGCTCTTACATGTCACCTCCACAGAGGAGTGGTGGGTGCCCCTCATCTGGGCCTTCTGAGAAAGGTGTAAAGGGGGACCTCTCAGACAGCTTTGTAGGCTCTCACTAAATTTGAGGACCAGAGTGGTGTCTGACTTCTGGCTGAAGATCTAAAGGGGAGAGGTCTGTGGCTAAACCCAAGGAGTCAGAGCAGAGAGGAGCATGGGGACCATCTTTGAGACAGGAACTAGATCAGGTCTTTTGTATCCGGTTTCTGAAAACAGCCTGAACAATTAAGATGCTCTTTGTCTTTCCAAAATAAGCAGGCACAGAGGGGCTACCCAGGCCCCACAGCTGAGGGACTAACCTCAGGAAGGGTGGGGCATGATGCTGTCGGTCATGCATGTCCGTTCATTGGGTTGATCTTACTCTGCACTACTAATCATGCATACTCATTGAGGTCCCAATGACTAGGGTACTTTGGACCTTGGAGGTCTTTTTGGGGGGCCTCCTGGATCAGTGAGAACATCCATGTACGGGAGAGGGAGTAGCATGTCCCTGGGGGCAATGGAGGTCCCATGGCAGGAACTAGCCCAGACCTTGCCCCATGCAGCTCTTCACTTGTCTCCTTTCTGGTTATAATAAATGGATAACTGTAAGTATAGATAATTGTTTCCGTGAGTTTTGTGAGTCATTCCAGCGAATTATCAAACCCACAGGGGCAATGCGCCAGCTGGGGCTGGTGGTACAGAGTCGATTTGTGTAGAACCAGCTCTTGGTGGCTGGGTGATAGAGAAAGGCTGCACGGGCAGTCAGTAAGAAAGGACAGAGTCCTTCTAGCTTGTGACGTAGTCCCAGGGGGCTACATAGAGAGGGAAAGAGAGGGAGGAAGGTCAGCTCGTCTTAAGGGCAGGGATTTGTGCAGACTCCTGAGCCTACGGCTGTTCCCTGCTGACCTGGCCTCAGGTGGCCAGGGATGTTTTGATCCGGCTCAGGATAGCAGGGGGTGAGGTCTGATCTAACTCTGGGTGGTCAGGGTCAGAGAGAGAGTTTTTGCCATGGAAGTGACTGGTATGGAGGTATGGAGGTGTGGGAAGGTGAGGCCTGGATCCATTTCCAGCTGGGAAGTGGATTCGTGCTGATCCTGCCCATGCAGTGAGTGATAAAGGTGGGGTTTGCCCATCCTGCACCTTTTATAGTGCAGTTTGGAGCAGTCCACACACCATCCCTCTGTGACGGTGGGTGGGGACACAGACGTGGGTCACCGGGGAGAGAGCTTGCTGGGAGTCTTCTGAAGAGGTGCTGCCAACATAGCCACCTAGAGGTGCCACAAGACCCCAGAGTCTGTGTGAGGTGGGCTACAGTATGCTCAGGGATGGTGGGGGCGGTAGAGGCCTAAGAAATGGTAGCACCCAAGTCACCCATGTCATGGAGGTGGCAAACAGAAATTCCCTGAGGCATAATCTGAAAAACTAGTAATAATAAAGTATCCCTCCAAAAAAATTAATAAAGTATCCTGTGGTGGGAGAGACACAATCGGCTCTAAACACCCACCAAGCACAGAGGGCGCTATCACCTACTGTGACAGTAGGAGATTGTCCCTGTCACCTGAGCCTGGCCCTGGTGGTGTCCACATTGGTTAAATGGAGGAGACACATGAGGTGGGGAAACACGGCAGAGGCCACCATCTCCTCACACCCCACTGCGCGCCCCCCAGGGAGGGCAGACGCTGGACTCGGCATGGAGTCATGGGGTTCAGTCACTCCACTGGACTGGACATTTTAATTTCTGAACAAAGACTATCCTTGTGACTAGAAGTCACATTATCATCTGAGATCCCTGCCTAAGACTTCAACCAGGGGCAGGGAAGAAAGCGTCCACAGAGGAAGGAAACTGGCCCCCACACATTATGATATTTAAACTCCAAACAACATCGCATATGGGGTGTTGTCATCCTTCTCCACAGTGAGGAAACTGAGGCTGGGGGGGTGACATCACTTGCTGAGGGTCACATTACTAATAGGTGTGATAAGTGCAGGGCCGTAACTCAAGCCCAGGTCTGCCTACCTTTCCCCTCTGCCTCGATGCCCTTCCTGGGACCTGATGAGCACATTGGCCTGAGGGGACTGAGACAGGGTGAGGGGCTCCAGGAGGACCGGGTTTAAGGCCTTGCACCCATGTCCCTTTTGCCTCCCCTCTATGCCCTCACCAAGTACCTGTGGTCTGAGTGCTGGTATGTCCAGCTGTGTGTCACAGCTCATTCTGAAAACAGTCCCCAGGGACAGTGAGTATGTGCAGCTGCCCACCCCACCCAAGTCCCTTTCACACCCTCACCTCATTTCGGAGCCCAGGCCAGAGCCCCAGGCCGCCAGTGGAGGGCTCCCTGTGCACACCACCCACCTCCAGGGCCATCTCTTGGAAGTTGCTCCCAGCCCAGCGGACCACAGACCCCAGCCGAAAGATGGGGCAGTAAAGGTTGTTGAGGTCAAAGCGACAGGTTTTCAGGAAAGAGCTGTTCTTGGTGTCCAGCACGTTGGTCCTGGGTGGAGGCCATGAATAACCAGTGAAATGAGGGTGAGACTTGCTTTCCTGAGCCCTCGCCCTGGCCCAGGCTGACCCAACTTTAGTCCCAGCTGGAGCCCTGACCCGGCCCCCCAGCTAACATCCTACTCCACTCAAGGGCAGGGCCCCACCCCGCAGCAGGGGCCGGGGAGCCCCAAGGCCACCAGCGGTTCTGTTCCATGCAACATCACACACAGAAGCCTGGGTGCACACGGCCCCCCACGCACAGCCACGAGGGCCAGCCAAGGCCCTCAGGGGTCCTGAGTCACCAGCCAAGGCCCCCTCCCAAGACCCCAACAGCCGAGCCCCACATACTTGGAGAAGTTGAATTTGGGGAAACGGATGGAGTTCTTGATGTAAATGGTGAATTCTTCAGCCTCGTCCAGGAGCAGCTTCCTGGAAACCAAGCCGGCAGCCTATCCAGGAGGCCCTGCCTGCCTCCTCCCACCTCCTTCAGACCCACTCCCTGCATCTATCCCCTGGAGTCTTTGCCAAGGACGGCTAATTTGCTCAGTGTGGAGTGGTCCTCAGGGCTCTCTGGGATGTCCCGGCTTCTCCCTCACGGTGAGGCTCCCAGGGTAGGTGTGTCCCCACCCATAGGACCGAGAGACCCCTAGGGGCCCCAGGCTGCGGCCACTCACGCTGGCTTGGACTTTGTCTCCACTGGGCACCAGGCGAAGATCTCACAGGTGCCCTTCGCACTCCCCACCCGCAGGCAGCGGCCAGTCTTCACTCCTGCAGGCACAGGACACGGACAATGCCAGGGGCCTCCAGGCTCCAGGCCTCTCCTCCACCACAGTCCTCGCCCCAGGCCTCACCATTTCCAGCCACAACAGCCTCCCCAGGGTGACAGTCGCTGTCCTTAGAGCACTTGGCATTGAGGATATCTTCATTCTGCCAGGAGAGAAAGGGGGCCTCAGCCAGAGCCAGGTCCCAACCCCGCCTGTGTTCACATGCCCTCCTGAGAACCTGACACAAGTCCTGGCCCTGTCCCCAAATCATGCAGGTGTGTCCAACCATGCACACATCCTCCTGGGCCCTGGAGCAGGAAGAAACCCCGGCGCCAGGAGAGGGGTACCCCAACCACTGCTGGTGGCTCCCCCTTCTGCCCAGCTCCAGATGCCATATCACCTCAGCACAGGTGTCCTGCCGCTGGTTGGGGGTCACGATCAGGTTGGTCATCACTACGAAGACACTCTCTCCCTGGGGAACCAGAAAGGGAGTAAGGGACCAGGTCCTGCCCTCCTGGGTCCCTCTTCCCAGGGCTGCCTGGCAGGGGTGGGGCCTCTGAATGGGTGCTGGGGCGGATGGGACCACAAAATTAGTGGACTCCGCCCTCTGTCTGCTGGCCCTGGAGTCCCTGAGCAGGTGTCCTTCAATAGGTCCCTTCCTGGCCTACAACCCTGTATGGGTTGAATTGTGTCCCCCAAAAATATCTGTCAACTTGGCTGGGTCATGATTCCCAGTGTTGTATAATTATGTACCATTTTGTAATCTGATGTGATTTCCTTATGTGCTGTAAATTCAATCTCTATGATCTAACAAGATGGATTAGCAGCAGTTATACTGATGAGGTATACGAGATTGGATAGTGTCTTAAGCCAATCTCCTTTGAGATATAAAAGAGAGAAGCAAGCAGAGACACATGGGAACCTCACACCGCCAAGAAAGCAGTGCCGGGAGCAGAGTGCATCCTTTGGACCTGAGGTTCCTGCGCTGAGAAGCTCCCAGACCAAGGGAAGATAGACGACATGGACCTTCCTGCAGAGCTGACAGAGAAAGCGTTCCCTTGGAGCTGACACCCTGAATTTGGACTTGTAGCCTACTGGACTGTGAGAGAATAAACTTCTCTTTGTTAAAGCCATCCACTTTGTTGTATTTCTGTTATGGCAGCACTAGGTGACTAAGACAAACCCCCACTGCCCCCACCCCATGAATCCACATCCGACGTCAGGCCCTGGGGTCCAAGCCCAGGTCTGGGAGAAGACGGGGCAGCGACAGGGTTGCCCCAGCCTGGCCCAGACCGATTCCCAGGGACAGGGACTAATAGAGGGAGAAGTTCCCTCCAAGAGCACCCCAGTTTGCCCCTTGTGAAAACAGGCCTAGAAGCATCTGGCTCCCTTTGGTCTCAGTTGGTTCAGGGGTTGCTTACAGAACAGTCGCATAAGGTGCAGTCAATTGTAGAAATGGCCGGTGATTTGTCGCCTATATATTTACCACAGTTAAAAATCATAATAACAAGGCGCACTCAGGGAGGGCAGGGGTGTGGCGTGGGGGTTAAGGGTCTGGACAGGGTCTCTATCTGCAAACCCCCGCAGCCCTCCTGGGCCGAGGGAGACAGTGCATGGAGGTCCCTGGGGGCCGGGCAGCAGTGCTGGGTGGGGCTCAGACCTGGGGCGGGATGACGTAGTCCGCCACATCCCAGAGCCGCTCCCCAAGCTCCGAAGTGTTGGTGAAGGCCACACCCTTGACTTTGGTGATGACAGCACTCTGCAGGGAGGTGTCTATGTCTTGGTAGCCCTTCTTCACCATGAACACCCACCTGTGGGAGGAGGATGGTGGGTGGGCATCAGTTGTATTGCTGCCCTCCGGGAAGTTTCCCAGGCTTGGGGGGGTGAGGGAGGCGGAGACACAGTGACTCCTGGGTGGGAGCAGGGGTGGGCAGTCTCCGGGCCACATTTCCCACCAGCTCCCACCACTGCCTGAAACCTGGTCCTGCAAGCAGCAGGGGCAACAAGCAGCACCAGAGGCATGGGGGTGGGGGGGTTCTAAAGAGGCGAGAGATGGCACCTGAGGCCCTGCAGTCGGGCAGGCCTGGGCGGAAACAGGCTCGGCCAGGTATTGGCCATGTGACCCTGGGGAAGCCAGTTAACTCTGAGCCTCAGTTTCCCCATATGTAACGTGGGGAGAACAATGCCTCCCTCCAGGGGGTGTGGTAAGGATTAACAAGATGGTATAGAACCTGAAACTCATCACAAGGAGACATGAGACAAACCCAAACTCAGGGGCATCCTACAAAACTGTTGTTGTTGGGTACCCTCGAGTCAGTGTTTGACCCATAGCAACCCCATGTCACAAAAGTAGAACTGTCCCACAGAGTTTTCTAAGCTGTAATCTTTACAGGAGCAGATCACCAGGTCTTTCTCCTGCAGAGCTGCTGGGTGGATTCGAACCACCAACCTTTGGGTTAGCAGCTAAGCATTTAATCTTCGCACCTCTAGGGCTCCTTATAAGAGCACAAAATTGCATACTCTTCAAAAAATGTCAGAGTCATGAAGTACAAAGAAAGACTCAGGAACGATTCCAGATCAGAGGAGACTAAGAAGACAGAACAACTGAATGCAAAGAATGAGCTTGGGTTTTCTCTTGCTATAAAGATAATTATTGGCAGAATTTATAAGAGGTCTGTAAATTAGATTATAATAATGATATGTCAGTGTTAATTTCCTGATTTTGATACTTGAACTTGGTTAAATATGAGAATTTCTTGTTTTCCAGGAATACACTGAAGTATTTAGGAGTAAAAGGGCATCATGTCTTCAATTTACCCTTAAACAGTTCATTTTAAAAATAAATATGTATGTATTTTTCTACGTATATATATGTGGATATATATGTATATGGAGTCCCTGGGTGGTGTAAATAGTTAATGACCTCAGTTGTTAACTGAAAGGTTGGAGGTTTGGTCCACCCAGAGGCACCATGGAAGAAAGGCCTGGCGATGTACTTCTGACAAATCAGCCATTGAAAACCCTATGGAGCACAATTCAACTCTGACACACACAAGGTCACCATGAGTTAGAGTCAACTCGACGGCAAGTGGTATATATATTTCCAAAATTTTTTGCACTATTGCAAATTTTCTGTAAATTTGAAATTATGTCAAAATAAAAAACTCTTTTGTAAAAATGAGATGGTACATGTAAATTGCTTAGCACAGTGCCTGGCACAGAGTAAGAGCTCAATGAATAGAACAACTCATTGTCGCTGACGTGGCCAGTAGTGTTAGAGATTGTGCTTGGCTGAAGTTCAGAAAAATACGACCCAGAGAAGGCAGGAAGCCACTCGCCTGAAGCCATGCAGCGCATGGCGTGGGGTGCCCTGCCCCTCCCCGAGTTCAGTAAGCGTTCTCTGTACAGCAGGTGGCAACCAGGATGCGTCCACCCTCCTCATTCCTGGGGTCAGTGCTGGGGGCCCTGGGCCCTAGGCTATCACATCTCCAAGGAACTCTGAGAGAGGTATGACCCTTGAGCCAACCAGCCATTTTAGTAGGGACAGACTGGGCCCAGCCCTCACAGAAGCATTCCACGAACACTCACAGAGCAATTTCATTCATTCACTCATTCATTCCATACCTAATTCCTAAGCAGTTAAGTGATGCCAGGCCTGGCTCTCGTGACCTCCCCAGGTGTCACAGACACTAAGCAAATGATCCCCCAAATGAGCCTCTAATTACACTGTGGGACTGTCATGGAGGAAGAGGAGAGAGAATCACGAGAGAATCTAGTCTGAGGAGGAAAGGCGTGCCTGGCTGAGGAACAGCACATACAAAGGTCCTCAGGTGGGAGATGGCCGGTGTCTCAGGGGTGACACTCAGGGGATGCTGGGCACCTGCCTCCAGGTGGGAGTGACGGAGGTCGGGGCTACCCTCTGTTTGCTCCCGTCTCTCCATAGTCAGGGAATAGGAGGGCTCAGCAACCTTTACTGAATGAGGAAATTAGTCACTTCCTTCCACCTGTTAGTTTCGGAGGGTAAGGGCTGGGAACTGCGCCTGGCTGAGCAACCCCAAGGAGCTGCCCCCTGGTTGGTGGCACCAGCATCTGCTGGATGGGATGGGATGGGGTGGAATGGAATGGAATGGGAAAGGAGGACAGGAACGTGCAGGTAAAGGCTTCTGGGCAGGGTGAGGTGAATACTGTGGAGGCTGCCCTGGGCAGGGTGAGGTGACCAGGAGGGAGTGTGGGTACATGCCAGGCTCATGAGTTGCCCCAGCCCCAAGCATGGCACTGACTCTCAGCGATTATAAATAACCTGCCTGCTCCTGGGCCGGCTGCCAGCCCAGGGCCAGGGAGGCTCCTGGGAAGACAGCTGCGGCCCAGTCTGGCCGCTGGGCCCCCACCCAATGCATCCCTGATCCCTTCCGTGGCCCTAACACTGACAGCTCCAGATCTGGGGAAGGAGTGGCCCACGGGAAGCCTCATAAATCAAGAAACCAGGAGCCTCTGCCCACACCTCATCACATCCAGAGCTGCGAGGGGATTCGTGGGCGCCCTCCTAACACACCGCGTTTACATCTAAGGGCCCAGGGAGGGCCCCTCCCCGATTAGGGCCACAGACCCCCAACCACGGGAAACACGGGCACAGATGCAGATTCCAGGACCCAGCCGCTGGCAGCTGGCACCTTCCGCCCACAGCCACCCCACCTCCCCTCCCCCACCTTCCCGAACGCGCGGAGCACTCACACCACCAGGTACAGAAGGATGGAGAGCTGCAGCAGCCGGTAGAGCAGGCCCACCTTCTTGTTCTTGGCGATGACATACTTTTCCGTTTTGTAGTCAAACAACGACAGACAGAGCCCCTTCCAGCCCCCCTGCCCCATGGTGCTGTCTCACTAGGGCCTGCGGACCGCCAGACCCCACAGGTGCCGCATGGGGCGCCCGCCCCGCGCTCCGGAGCCGGCTGCCCCTCGCCTGCCCGCTCCCTGCGCGCCGGGCGCCGGCGCGGCCGCTTTCCCTCGACAATGCAGTAGCCCCGGGCGCGCGCGACTCGCACGGGCATGGGCGCTGGGAGCGCTCGGGGGAGGGCCGATGGCCGGCCGGTTATTGGCGTGGCTCTAAAGCCTCCCCTGGGAGCTGGGCTGGGGAGAGCGCTGGAGCCTCGGACTCCGACCTCGCTGCCACCTCTTCCTCCTCCTCCTCCCCTGACACAGTGACACCACTGGACCGTCCACCGGTCTGGCGAGGGCACTCACGGAGACCGCGCCGTGCGCTGTCCCAACTGGGCAAAACGATCGCTGGGCTGCAGGAGGCGAGCAACGAAAGGAGGAAGGCCTGGAAGGGCTCCTTTTTAAGCAAAACCTCCCTCTCTTGTTGCACTCCAATAAGAAACCCCTACGGTTTCTTCCTGTTGACTAGATAGGGAAACTGAGCTAGGGGAGGAGGGATCCACAGCACAGGAAGTGGCCGTGATAAGTGAAAGAACATTTACAGTAAACGCATCAGGTTTCCTGAATTCACCTGGCCCCAATCTCCTGGGAAGAGACGCCTTCCTGCTCTCGGGGGTAGTCCTGGCCCACGCCACTCTCCGGGGGTTCCGGACAGGCTGGGAGGGACTCGGAAGGCTCCTCAGATGCACAGCTACCAGGGTGCGCTGTAATTAAGTGGATGTTCCTACTGCAGCAGGCGCTGAGGATTTAAAACCCTAGGCTCCCAAGGAGTCAGCTGCCTAGCAGCAACTGAGCTCCCACAGCGTGGAGAACTCTGTCCCACACCCAGGGTGGATGAGGTGGACTGGGGGACATCGAGCAACCGAGGCCTAGGATCACCAAATATGCTTGGAGCGAGAGCATGTGCCAACTGTTAGAAATGTTCCCAGAGCAACAGACAGACGGAATCCAGGCTGCTATTCCTGCAACCCTCCAACATGTGAAATTAAACAGAGGCGGCTAGGGGTGGAGATGAAGAGGGGCGTCCAGTTTGAGAGTTCATGATGGCAAGAAAGGTAGGGCTCTGGGTGAGCTGTTGAGCTGTGGGAGTGTGTTGAGGAGCAGCATACACTCGTTGTCTACCTTCTGCACCCCGTCCAAAAGCAGCCCTGCTCCTGCCCCTCCCCCAGGCCCTCACGCACCAATGAGAAGCTCCCTTCCTCCAACCATAGACTCATGGAGTTGGAAAGGACCTCAAGTCCACCGGGTGGGATATTCTCTAAAAGTAAAAGCCCCAGGGCAGTAGGTCTCAGTTTTTGTGTGCTTGGGAATTACTGGGAACAAAGAAATGCAAATTCCTGGCCCGCCCTTAGATTTTCATTCATTAAGTCTAGGATGGGGCCTGGGAGTCTATATTCTGTTCTCAAACTGACATTTGGGATGCACAGATTTTTGCATCTTCTCATCATTAATTTCAGCTCAAATGTCATCTCAAAATGGCCCATTCTTATTACCACCCATCAAAAGTAGCCCCCACCCCTACCCCAATCACTTTCTATCGATTAGCCAATCTCATTCCCTTACAGCAGTTATAACTATTGGATCCAATCTGTGGACTTATCTACTGGCTGTGTCCCAGACTAAGATCGTAAGCTCCAGGAGGGCAGAGGCCCCAGCTTTGGACATCTCTGTATCATAGTAGATACAGAGGATCCTAGTATGTCCTCTGTATCTGAGTGGAAGAGAATTTAGAGCTGCCACCCCATCCTAGTTGTGGCCGGGGAACAAGCTTGACAATTGCTGCCAGACTTCCCATCCTCCCAGCCTCTTTGTCAGCCCTCCCTAACAGGGCTCCCAGTACTTGGAGATGTAGCTGCCATCCAGAGACATCACATATATGAAGATGCCTCTTCAATCTGAGAATACCGCTCCAGTGCCCAGTTCTAGTTGCCACTGAGTTGATTCCAACTGATGGTGACCCTATGTGTATCAGAGTAGAACTATGCTCCATAGGATTTTCAGTAGCTGATTTTTCTAAAGGCAATTGCCAGGTCTTTCTTCCAAGGCACCTCTAACCAAACCAAACCAAACCCATTGCCCTCTAGTCAATTCCGACTCATAGTGACCGTACAAGACAGAGTAGAACTGCCCCACACGGTTTCCAAGGAGTGACTGGTGGATTTGAACTGCCGACCTTTTGGTTAGCAGCCATAGCTCTTAACCACTACACCGCCAGGGTTTCCAAGGCACATCTGGGTGGACTCAAACCTCCAACCTTTTGGCTAGCAGCCCAGCACATTAACCACTGCACCACCCAGGGGCTCCAGTGTAAGGCTTAAGGATTCCAGGCTCAGGAGTCTCCTGCACTGAAATGTGACCTGGAGAGGAGCTCCAGGGGCTGTCAGGCATCTGGAGAGCATCACCCACGAGGCCCCGTGGATGCACCAAGGGTGATGGTGAGGGGGCTTGTCAGCTTGCGGCACACACCATAATGGGTCTCTCTCCTCCCCAAGAGGAATTCCAGGTGTTGTGGCCCAGGACTGTTTGTTGTGCTGAGGGATCCGCAAGACTAGGGCAGATGGGGTAACAGGCCCCACATTTCCCAGCAAAGCGTATAATTAGCCACAGTCCCAGGGCACCCTCCTGGTTTTGATTCCTCAAACCTTAACTGAGCATCCACTAGGTGCTCCCAGGAGGCTCATCAGCCAGGCACCCACCCTCTGTCATTGGCCTGTCAGAACTGCCACTCTGGCTTGAGAAGGGGTTCTGCTCTGTTTGCCCTCCAACTCCCCAATTCCCCGTGGCACAGCCCAGACCAGGCTGTGCGTTCTGACACAACTATCCTGAAACTCTAGAGACCACCTGAGGGACGACATCCCGATGGGGAGGGCTGCCCTGCTCTCAGGGTTCAGGCCAGGCCTCTCCATTGGTGGGTCAAGACATCAATTATAACCAGCATGTCCCCCGCAAAAAAGAAACAGAAAACACCAGAGTGTGTTTCAGGAAGGGTAAGTACTGTTTTGTGAAACTTTTGTTTCAAGTAGAACGTGTCTGTGTGCAACACCCTGATGTGAAGTATATTTCTTTCTGTGCGTTGTGGTCAAAACAAGGTGGAAAAAAATGCTCACAAGCTGCCATCAGGAGTATCTGTGTTCTGCCTCCGCATAGCCGGGGCCCACTCACCATGTCTAGTTCAGGCCTAACACCTATTAGGCCCCAAGAGGGAGAAGAGGTCTTTGCTTTACATTTGCATTATTAAAGGCCCAAAATGTTTCCAAAACTAAAGATGAATTCAGTTCTCCACTTGAGAGGAAATTTCCTGCTGCTTTTAAGTGACAGTATTTGTAGTTTCTAACCCCATCTCAACAGTCTTGGAGCCCCAGGTATGCTGTTGAAATTATCTGCATCACCATTATCAAGGTGAGTACTTATTGAGCTGGGGGCACTGGTGGTGCAGTCATAGACTTCTCATCTTCCACAAGGAAGACCTGGGTTTGATTCCTGGTCAATGCACCTCATGCAAAGCCACCACCTGTCTGTCAGTGGAGACTTTAATTTGCTAAGATGCTGAACAGTTTCAGCAGAGCGACCAGATTAAGATGGACTAGGAAGACAGGCCTGACAATCTACTTCCAAGTAATCAGCCAATGAAAACCCTATAGTAGTGCCTGGGGTCTCAAAAGTTTGCAGGCAGCCATCCAAGGTACAATAATTGGTCTCTATTCACCTGGAGCAACAAAGGGAGGAGAGTCAGGAATAGGAGGATATGGAATGTGTAGCTAATTGCCTCCATGAAAAACTGCCTCCTTTGTCATGAGACAAGAAGAACTGGATAGTACCCAGCTACCATTACTGAACACTTTGATCAAAGATTCTATAGAAGAATTCTTATTTTTAAAAGGGAAAATGCAGAACAAAATTTCAAATTCTCATAGAATCCAGATTTTCTGGAGCCACGGAGGCTGGAAGAACCCCTGAAACTATTACTCTAAAATAATCTTTAAACCTCAAACCAAAAATATCCCCTAAGTCTTCTTAAAACCAAACAATAGTTTAGCTTAACTAGTAAAGAATGTTTGCCTTGAGCATTATGCTCTTTTAAGATCTATCTACATGGGATCAAACTGACAATAGCAACTTGAAAGATTGGATAGGAACCTTAAGAGGAAGTGAGTTTATTTAATGGGGGAATAACAACTTAGAAAAGGAGGCTGAGAATGGTTGCACAACTTGAAGAATGTAATCAATGTCACTGAAATGTACACGTAGAAATTTGAATTGGTGTATGTTTTTGCTGTGTATATTCTCAACAACAACAAAAATAAAATAAATTATTTAAAAAAACAAAACAAAAAACCCTATGGATCACAGCAGTCCAATCCTGTTGTGCATGAAGTTGCCACGAGTCAGGGCCAACTTGACAGCAGCTAACAACAACTTATTGAGCAATTACTATTTGCTAAGCACCTAGGTACCTTACGTGTATGGACTCAGTTACCACACAACCTGATGTGGTAGTACTAATACCATCGTCGTTCTTCCCTATGAGGTTACATGTGTCCAGAGTACTTATAAAGCCCACTTCACACTGGATGTTTCACACTAGATGAAATGAGGCCCAGAGGTCACCTGAAACGCTAAGGCTAGAACTGGACTCCGGCCATCCACTCGGGGCCCTGCACTCTGGAGCCTGTGGCATCTTCTGGACATTCAGTGTGCAGCTCACACATCACATACTGGATAAAACGAGGCCCAGAGGTCAGGCTCCTATGGAAGAGCCAAAGGGCCATCTTCCCGCCCAGTCATCTAGAGCTCCTCAGAGGGAACCAGACTCTCAAGGAGCTGAGGCAGGGATGACAGACACTTCTGCAGTAGCTCTCGCTGCCACCAAAGCCAGGCGCTTGCTGGGTGTCTGTCAACTTGTCTTCCTATCATGCTTCATTATAGTGAGCACTGTCCCACCTGGAACAGCAGTGAGTGAAGCATTCTCATCCAGCTCACAAGCCTTTGTCTAGTTGGGTGGTTTAAGGATCTGCAGTGAGGTGATGGGGAAGTATAAAGTAAATTTATGAAGGGCCTTTATCTTTCTACTTCATCTTACTTGCTCCTAAGACTTGCCAAATTCTAAGTCTATTGTTCTCTGTGATTTGGGCCCACTCCTGGGGCCATCTTGGGTCCTGGGAGAGCCTCCAGGAAAAACCATGCCGATTTCTTGGGCACCGGGAAAGGAGAGAGAGGCAGTCAGAGCCCTCCCCCACCCCAACAGAAATGAGCTGGGGCTTTACCTAGAGGAAAACAAACCCTCCTACCTGTGATCCCAACCTTTTCCCCACATTATTCTCTCTCCTTCTTTTATGAATTTTATAGATTATAAAGGAGGAAGTATGGTGCAATGGGGTGAGTCTTTAGAGGCAGGAGAATTACAAGGGGCCACCCTTCAATCAAG